AAACTAATTTGTGCGGGGAGAATTTCGTTCCTTTCCTTCATTTTAGTTTTTATTTTGCGCCAAGACGTAAGTTTACTGACACCCATCCAATTATCCAATTGCTTGCCAATAGCATTCAAAATACAAATTTTTGAAAATGCCGCAGCCATATTAACCCAACAATATTTTGTATACAGTATAGTATGATACCATCTATATTTTCCTGGGAGAATCATAAGATCAGCACTACCTACTATATTACCTACGTCAAATATTAGATGTAGTAACCAATAAAGTATTTTTAATCCAATTATAATCCAATGGCTAGCGTATTTATTCAAGTTTTTGTATATATCTTCGACTGGTGATTCCCTATTTTCTCCCTTTTGATTTCTTTGAGCTCGTTGAACTTGCTTTGCTTCAGCTTGAAAATGTTTAGAATCCTTTTCCTTAGTTACCCTTTTTCCTTCTTTATTTACTTTATTCATAACACCTTTATAACTTTATAACTACAGTTATAGTAGACTTTAGATTACAATGTTGCGGGGCTATCCAAAGGTTCCGGTGTTCTTTCATCTCCGACATATATATATATCGGAGATGAAAGGAAAACCGAAGCCTTCCCTTTGCAATTTTGGGAAAGTCCTCTAATGCTTTAGCCTAGATTTTATCATAGCTGTAATTAAGCAATTGTTGTCATTCAGTCTGATTGTAATTGTTCGATATTTATGATAGCGAAAGTGGGTTCGAGGTGACAATTGGTCGCCGAACGTAGCCACGGTCACGGGATAAACGTTTTGCCTGACGAAGGTGTGGATCGGTTGTATTGTTCTCCCTAGAAATCACATAGAATTGTACTTTGGAGATGTCGATATAATGGGACACACGTTGTATTAGGAATCAAACTCCAGACAGAAACTGCCTAGCAACGGCGTTTGGATCTTTCTCGATGCTTCCAAAGAATACACAACAAACTCTTGGCAGAAACTGCCTAGCAACGGCGACTGGAACCTTCTCGATGCCTCCAGCGAGCATATAACAAACAAATGCAGTCGTATAGCGAAAAAGATTTTCATCAGATATTCATTCGCGTGATCGCCTTGGAAAGTGATACATCAAGCAATTTACCGAGTGTCTTAGCAATCGTATTTTTTTGTGTTTAAAATTATTCTACGCATAGTAAAAAGTTATCCCGTTGACCGTGGATTCGTTTGAACCCCGGAACATTGTTAATAGCGTTAATTAAATTCATTATTCGTAAAACCTATCAATCGTCAATCTCATTATTCGTTAAATTCATTATTCGTAAGACATATTATTCGTTCCTCTCATTGTTCGTTAAACTTATTATTCTTTAATCTAATCATTAGTTAAACTTATCGTTTGTTAATCTTATCATTCATTAAACTCAATATTCATAATATTTTGTAAAATCTTGTATATTCGCGTAAATATAATCTCTGTTTCGTAAAACGATGGCTAGTTCAAACGAAGAATTGTTACGCGCCTTAAATTCTAATGTTAACCCGACATATAATATAAAAAAAGGCGAATGAACAATAGCCCGTTCGTATACTTTATTCACAAGGCGAAGTTACACTTCAATAGCAAAATACAGACTGACTTACTGACTAAAGGACTGGGATCTTTCTCCTCACTATGATTCACATATCTCACGGGTGGGAATCCGGCTACTGTCTATTCTTACTGCTATCGCATGACCAGGTGTTATATGCATATCCTGAGGTCGGCGGATTCCTGGCTTCTGGGCGACGTTACAGGGGCCCCGTCACCAATGGTGACGCTCTTCTTGTTCGAGTTAAGTAAATATACGATATTATATATAGGATATACAACATAAAAATATTAAAAACACATTATACCATACTTTTTATTAATTTATATTCTGGATAAAATATTACATTATGCTATATCACATGATATTCGCTAAAACATTCCAAACACATTTGGGGTGATTTTGGGCACTTCGAACAATACACTGTAGTTCTTTTTATGTTTTTTCTCGCTTCTTCGCGTGAGAGTTTGCCTCTTCTTCTTGTAACATAGGGTGCACATCCTTATATGCTTGCCTTCTTGATTTTTACGTATCCCCAAATGGTGGGTCACCTTCTTCGTTTTCTTTCGATGGTTGTCGAACACAATTTTGTCGAACACACAGACAGTATTTTCTGAGGACACATTGGACCATTCGTAAACGAGAATTTCCCGAAATTGTCTGATCAGTATTTTTTTGTTTGTGGCTATTTGGTACACAGTATGAGCATTTACTATAGTTCTGCCTACGAGTAAATGTAATGCTAATTTCTGATACCACTTGATGCTTTTCCGTATCGTAGTGGCATATGAGACTATCTGGTCACTTCTGTCGATACCAATTTTTCCATTATTATATGTAGTTACCGCCAAAGGTTTCTATTTTGGAAGACACATCCGTGATATGTAGAATTCGAGCTTGAAATCATAATAGGTGCATGTTTTGTTGATAATATTCTAACATTTCAAACATCTCTGCATTTGAGAATCACAATACCGTTTTTATCCTCTCGTGCTATCATTTCACCTTTCTTCAACGGGCACGACATTACGGAATTGGACATATATTCTTTGTTGTGCCGTACAGTTCCAAGGACATGCGTCCTAAAATTTAAAAATTTCACTACTAACTGATAGCTCGTATAAAAATTGTCGACGAACAAAGTTCGTCCTTCATTTAGCAATGTATCTGCAAGTTCAATGCAGACGTTCTCAGCTATGCTAACTTGCTTACTTCCGGTGGTTTCTCGTCCAGAATATACTTTTGCAGACCATATGTAAGCTTCGGTGGAACACAGTTTGAATAGCTTCATACCATACTTAATGTGATTTCGTCGATATGTATTGCCGGAATGTTAGTCGTCCCCTCCAAGGAACCATTGTCTCGTCGACTACAATATCTTTGCCTGGTGAACAACTTTGTTGGTAATTGTCTATTAATATGTTTATGAGTAGTAAAACTTTTCCAAGTCTGCTACTCTGTTCTATAATTTCGTTATTTGCAAAATGCAAGTTTGCCAATAGCGATTTTTCAAAACGATTACGGGACATTCTGTTGCGTGGAAATGAGAAATTGTAAAGACGGCTCGTTGACCAACATATAACAAGCGGTGTCTGTACTAGACATCCAAATCATTAGTTCGATAAATTTTATAATTTCTTTGGAAGTAGTGCCTTTCCACCTCCTATGTCGAGTTTGACCGGTCACTTCATGTTGATGTAATTTTTGCTCTGCATTAGTCTCTGTGACTAAAAGGCTTATCATTTTTTCATCAACGAATAACGAAAACACTTCACTTGCGCTAATGTCAGACGGCAAATCCATCAAAAGTCCGCTTTTTCCGGTGAACGGAAATGTCTGTTGCATTGAATATTGTTCAATGAATTATCAATAGAGTCGAATTTCTCTTCTTCGTCTATGGCTAGTTCTTCCAACATGTCTTTGAGACCTTCGCTTGCACATGCTTCCTCAATATCCGAGTCCGAACTCGACGAAATTCTATTTATAACTTTTTTTCTAAAATTCAATACTTCGTCATCACTACTCTCCTTACGTTCAAATATATTTTCACGCTGTTTACTGAACATTTTGAGGATGAAAAAATCACTGATGTACGTGTCACAAATATGCTTCTCGACTAAATGAAAGATCTGAGATATCTGCCATGAGATCCCTCGGAATACTCTAGCTGGAAAACTGATCGCTTTCTCCATTTCAAAACTAAATAAATTTTTCTTTAGAATGAATCGAAGGCGATAAACAATGAATTCCCACTTAGCGCTCTATTTACGTTCTGTGTACCAGCGGTTGGATTTGGGCCCCGCAGGAAACTTAGCCGAATCACGCTGGGCGACGAACGTGTTAAGCGTGAATCGCGTCAAACTCAGCCATACAGAGAAACAGCCCCGTGCAAAATTCAGCCGTAACAAAGAGATTAATAATTTACTTTAATAATTAATAATACAATTGAGTGTGATATATTTTAAAGCACGGTATGACACATAGACCCACGTCACAATCTTCACACTCATAGCGCGATCTTCGTCTTACATCATTCTTTGAACATACGATACAGTTTCGTAACGCTTTTTTAGATTTTGTGGACCTACAGTGCGATGGAAAATGTTTTCCGCTTAGTCTGAAGGGATGATCTGCGATAGATTTGTTAGAGCTAATGTTATTATTCGTATAACCGAATTTTTCGAAAATTTCTTTAAGTAATCTAAGGTGAAACGCTCGCATTGTTACTTTTTCTTTCTCTTGAAGCTTATATAAACAATACGCGTTCCAGATTGCCACATCAAGCAGATGGAAAAAATATATTTTATACCATTTAACACTTTTTCGGACTGATTGTACACTCGATATTACTTTGTCCCTGTTGTTGACCACACCCATATTGGCAGTGTAATCAACAATACAAGACGGTTTTTGAATAATTTCTCCGGTCTGATAGTTTATTTTTTTAGTATTTATATAATCCGCGGAGTGGGAAGTTGACAACATATATACCTCCCGTTTGTCTTGCCACTTGAGAGCGAGCATATTAGGCGATGATCGGAAGCATATTTCACCCTTGTCTAGTTTTTCCTTCATTACAGGCATTTCTCTTCTTCGCGACTTTACGGTGCCGCACGCGTTAGTTTTATTATCATGTAAATAACTGAATAAGGTCGGGCTGGTATACCAGTTGTCAACAAACAATGTGTGCCCCTTTCCTAAATATGAATTCAATAATGTGAGTACAACCTCAGCCGATTTTCCTAGATATTTTTCGTTCATTTTTGTTATTTCGGAATCGCTGTCGGCATATACAACAAAATTTAGTACGAATCCCGTTTTGCAGTCGTACAATACAAAAAACTTGATATTAAACATATTCCGTTTGGACGGGATATACTGCTGGAATGATAACCGCCTCTTTAGCAATAAACTTTCATCCACGCATAAATGGCGGAATGGAATAAAACAATTTTGAAAGGAACGACAAAGTTTATTACAAAATTCTCTAATTTTTATCAGTCTATCGGAATTAACTAACTCAATTTTACTGAAGTAAAGAATGCGTAATAGAAAAACGTATCTGTCTCTATTCATAATTTTGCCAAAAACATCGGTTCGCAAAAATTTATCCTTTGTCCAATATTCGGAAAAATGTAATTTCTTTACTCGCGACATTAGTAAACGAATTACAAAGAAATTATATATTTCACTCAATGTTGTTTCTCTTTCGTGAGGTTTTAGGAAAGAGCGCTTAGAATTGTCCATCTTGAATTTGCGGTACTCATTCGTTTTTTCCACAATAAATGACACTAATTCTTCAGAAAAAAACAGTTGGAAGTAATCGATCGGAGTTGCAGATCGATTAAGCTGGATTGACATGCCAGAATTGTGGGAATCAAATTTATGCACTTGGGGTTTCAAATTTTCATATGACCAGATTATTTTTCCGCATGTTGTCTCTCCGTGAACATCGGAATCTTCTGATTCGGACGAATTTAGTGTTCTCAATTTTTTTCCATTCTTCCAATCACGTTTGTTTTTGGTTAAGTCATTTTCGACTTCCGAGTCTGTTTCTGAATTGTAGCAAATTGCTCTTCGCTTCCTATTTTGAAATGACATTTTGAGGTTGAAGATTCTAAAAAATTATAAGGATATGAATCGGCATGTTAAAAAGAGCATCTAATAATGGTATTTATTTTAACAAAAAGCAACAATTGATACTTCACACTGACATATCAAAAGCAAAGACTATATATTACATCTATATATTGTTAACACTCTCAGAAAACGTTGTGAGGGCAAAAGAAGCGTGAAGCAAGACAAATGAAACAGATCATTTACTTCAAATGGTGAATGAGTCAGTAGAGTGAGCCAGTATAGTGGCGCATCATACCTAAGAGGTTAAAAATAAACGAAGGTATATTTCAGATACTTCCTGAACGTGGTATTTTTAATACATACCATGAAAAGATAAATAAAGAAACGACCAGTAAATGCTAGGATTGTGACGAAGAATTGGAGGATGCACAGTATGCTCTTGAAAACCATGCAGAAAAAACGCTGACTCCTAGAAATCTCACTGATACAGTCGCTGAGAGTGAACAGCTCTGGAAACATTTTAATGAACTCTGTAGGACGATTATGAAGAATAGACAAGAGAAAGAAAAACAACATGAATTCTTTAGAAGACGCAAACGCAGCAGGCGTGCATAGAATATTCCTTAATAAAAATCCTTAATTTTATAGCTACCGCATGATGTGGAAACAATATTACTATACTCATTACAGAAGCTATTTTACCTTCGATGAAACTTTGTACTTGATGGAACATTAAGAGTCCACATAACCTCTATGCACGTGGTAGTAGGTAGATGATCCGCCATTTCATGTATAACACTGGATAACTTCCCACAACAGGATGATTCCAGCATGGAATAAATACAATTTTAGTATATTAACGAAGAAATTTTGTTATTAATGTTAATATAAATTAAAAAATAGTAACACACCGATGCGACGTTAGGTTGCTAACGGAGACAACACGTGATAATATTCCTGTATTATCAATGCTGTCGATGAAACGTGAGACACAGTTATTCCACAGTTACTCACTGCATGATGAACCTGCACAGGTATACATTAATTATATTGCTAGAAGAAAGAAACATCATAAGAGAAACTGTCAACCACGTGCCGAATAAACAATTAAACTTAATAGTTAAGCACTGCAACACTATGTAGTTATGTATTACGGTAAACGCACAAAAGGCGAATCCACTACTTTGCTCAAAAATTTAATTTATTTTAGCTATATAATTAATTGATTATAGTAACACTTGAACACATTGGTACACGTGTTGACAGTTGCGGCTATATTAGACAGAACGAGCATAGCACAGAACTAGCAGCGCTTGAATGAGATGCAGCAGGTAGTCGAACTATGATACGGTACGGTCGATAAGGTAGTTGAGAGCAGATTTATTAAATTAAATAAAATTTATTAACAAATTATAGCGTCAAAAGGAACAAGAAGCCACTATGTAATATACAAACACACTAGTACAAATTAAAATAAAAAAAGCTACACTATAGTACGCTCCAAATATTAATAAAAAACCGTTAATTAGTTGATTATTTGCAATATAGTCAAGATTTTCATATTTTATGAACTCTAGAGTTATGATTTATCATTCTGAATCCTATGAACAATAAGATCGAGATGATAAGAATATAAGAATATAAATATTTCAAAGTATACACAAAATCACAATCTAACTTCTTACGTGAATGAGTTCTATAAAATATGAAAATAAACAAGGGGGAGAAATTAGAATTCACTGATATACATTAAATTGGTGCAAATTAAAAGCATTCGTAATATAAATAACTGTAACCATCCACGCATACAGGAGTTTTAATCTCTATCAATCAAAGAACGCACTATCATAAAGCGTTTTTTACACTACTTACAAAGCAATAATACACGATGCCTATGCATGAGATAAGCTCAAATTATGAAATAATAATTTACTATATAGGACAACAATATTAGTGATAAACACATTGATACTTCACATGTAGAGTAAGAGGTTTAAACGTAATCAATACTAAATGCAACGTAAAAATACACTGAGCGGTACGACACACATAACGATCCCACTTAGTGACATGACAAATAGTTAATAATACTAAGATTCTGGAATTTTAGTGAAATAATACGATATTTCGATTGAACTTGAAGCACGTGTTGACACTTGGGACAGAAGGCGGCCATCTTGATACGACTGTGCAAGGTGGCTAATTAATACTTAACACAAGAAAATTATAAATTCTAGTGTAAAATATGTAAATAACATGAAGAAGAAACCATCTCAATGAAATTATGTTGTATATACTAACAACAAATAACCAAGACATACATAATATGAGAACGAATAAATATGAATACATATGCATGCCAAACAAACTACAATAATATATATGTCGGCTTTACATTAGAAATAGGGTTAGGGGCGTGAAACGAATCTTTATTAGGATTACACATTGTTGTTATGCAATAGAGAAGACATTGACTAGTGCAAATATGATTATTAGTACAAGTGTGTATATTCTAGAATTGACAAGTAACCGCGGTGATTAGACACTAATGACAGTGGTCGAAAACGAATCCGCGGTCAACGGGATAACAAATGTACTTTCTTCCAAAGTCTAAATTGGACTCGATTTACCTGTCTACGATACAAGTATTACTAAACTAGCTCTTTGTTAAAATGTAAAATATTCACCGAGCGTAAAGACGCTATGTAACCCGCTAGTGAGACCCCGAGCGTAAAGACGCTATGTAACTCGCTAATGAGACCTCACGAGAGAATTACTTTGCGTCGCGATGATGCTGTAGAGGAAAACTATGATGGGGTGTGTCTAAGGACACGAGATCATCGGATTCGTCGAGGATAGCCTTCGTTCAGAAAGTGAGGGAAATTGACGTTGCTGTTAATTGGTCAATTTCCATGTGGGTGGCTAGAAAAGGATGGTAGCCGTCCTTGAGGGAAGGTTGCTAGCGAGAAGCGTCGTTCGTTGAAAAATAGATCTCCCCTATCTTCCCGTAGTTGGGACTGTTTGTCTGTTTGAAGGACCTTAGGTAACTAGATCTTAATGTTTATAACGACCCTCGGACTAGCTGATCACGTATTGTGGAGACGCGTCGGCATCTGGTAACCATCATACCCGAAGAATAGGATCTGCGTGTGGCGAGCCACGGAACAGAAACCGTTGGAATGTTTACTGTCGCGTGCCGCCATAAATATTTCTTTTAAGGAGAGCTATAGAATTACTCCGTACCTTTGTTAGACAAAGCGTTCATCCCTTGACCGCGGCTACGTTTGGCGACTGACTGTCGCCTCGAGCCCAAGCTCATTATCACAAATCCCGAACAATTACAATTGGACTGGGTGACTGCAATTATTTAATTACAGCTATGGTAGATTCTGAATTACAATGTTACGGGATTTTCCCAAAATTCCAAAGGGAAGGCTCCGGTGTTCTTTCATCTTCGACATATTAATAAGGAACCATTTGGCTGAATAACGAAAAAACATATAAAGAGTTCTTTAGATTATGTGACGCGGTCAAAATCAAATTTCAGGAGTTGAATTTAAAAACATTTTGTCCCTATGAATTCACAACCTCCCAAAGCTTTGAAATCCACACATATTTCTTCCTTCAGATGATTCTGTGATTACATTAGGGTTGTGAAGACATATTTTAAGTGAAACTAATTGTTTTAACTCGTAATTATTGTTAAAATAAGAATATTTAATGACAATTAATTGTTATTAAAAAATGTATAGGTTTCACTAATTGCTATTAATTTTTACTAACTAAAAATATATTTTTAGCATAAGAATATTTAATAACAAATAATTCTTAATAATTTTTATTGGGTAAAAATTAACTCTTAAAATAAAGGTATTTAATAAAAATTAATAGTTACTAATTCGGCTGCAATGGTCGGATCGCAAAACAGCTTCCAAGCCAGTCAAATGCGTTTGTCACGTCGAAGACAGAAGAAATCACGAAACCAATAGATCGCTGGTGGTCTCCTCGCGTCGCAGTAAATATATTCGTACGTTTCACGAATAACGTGAAGGAATTGAACTTCGTATAAGATGATGGAAATTTTATTGTATAAATCCAACGGAGTGACGGTTCAAAGTGTTACAGAATAATTAACAGAATAATGTGTTGAGCGCTAATGTAGGAGAGTTTTTATATGGAGGTTTTAGTCCCTTTGGAGGGGTTATCGTCCGATGTATATCAGAGGCGGCTATTCAGTTGCTGTTTTGTTATTATTTCGATAGCTGTGGCATGCAGGATGTTTCGTCTACTTTATTACTGTTTCTGAGCGGGTGACAGGTGCATCAGACGCAATGCAATACTTGAAACTTGCTTGTTGAAAAATAGAAGCAGTGCTGTCCATGATATTAACGCTGTGGTATATGTGTCAACACAAACATGGCATACATATATTGGAACTAGTGCCGCTATGGATATCGCCCATGTGATTCGAGTTTTAACAAACGTAGCCGCGTATGGCGCGGGGGTACCGGAAGAAATCCGTCCTTAATTAAAGCCTTAATTAAAGCTTACCGTCACACCGACGAATATTTTTTCCTCGATTCTGAAGTTTCATAAGGCTGCTTTTTAAAATATTATAACAAACTAAAAAGAAAGCACTGTTTGCAAAAATTTTATCATTTCTTTAATTTTTGTAGCAATAACTCTTAAATTCATAATAAAACTAGTAGATGATATAATATAGACGCAATGGGAAGGTTATCAATTCTTCACCGGTAGTGTGTATTTTACAAAACAATGAGTATAAGTATTTTCTTACACCATTAGAATATGTAATACCACCAGAAAACGGCGGTATAATATACATACATATATACGTACATAGGCAGTTCGAATGAAAATAGAAAAACGTTTGAGAGGCGTTCCCTACATACTAAACAAGATAATAATCAATATTGACACTTAAAAATAGCAGAAAATATTCTAAGGCTCGATAAAGTTTTTGAACTAATGCATGATCCATTTTTTAATATCACTCGTACTTTAATCATACAAATTGTTATGTATTCTATGACTTCTTTCAATATATATATATATATATATATATTTATATTATATTCAATATATATATTATATATATATAATATATATATATAATATATATTGAATACATATATATATATATATATAGTTTCATAGTTTCATAGTTTTATACGTACGACAATAAATATATCAACCCTATAATTCATTATTATAAAAGTATATCAGATTTGCCGGCGAATCTGTGTTTAATATTTTTTTTACTATTAAATAATTCAATATTAGATACGTTAATATTACCCGAATATTTACACATTACATTTTCAAATATTATATCGCTTCCGTTCTTGTTCCAGTAAGGTTTTGTCACGTTATCGGAAGAAGGAAACATTACAAATAAAAGAGACCAAAAAATTTCTTTGGAAATCGTTTCATAAGTAAACAGATTAGGGATATATGTGTTTCCAGGACGAGATTTATTAATTCATTCGTACTATAGTTAACGATAATATCGTTAAGATATTAAAAATTTATTTCTGATTTAGTGTGCGAGATTTACTTTAATTCTATTTCTCCATTTTCATTCATTCACAATCAATCTTTACAACTTTGCCTTCACAAAGGCTTGAGAGAACTATATTCATCAAATTATTTCTTGACGTCCATATCCATCACATGAGATTTTGATAAAGTTTTTCTTAACATATGTCACTGAAAAGCATCCGTAAAAAAGATTTAAAAAATTTTTCACCTGCTCTACATAAACTTCAGCTTGTTATAACTTGCAGATCTATTGGGCTAATCCTTCTTTCCAATTTTTTTTATGTGTTTGTTAGATAAATAAGCCTGCTGGAAGAATCTGGCAAATAAAATGAAATAGCTGAGGTACATCAGCATAGCAAGTTTGATGTTCAAAGGCGTAACGTGACATTCAACTTGAGCACTGTGTACATAGTAGTAAGCTGATGCAGTTAAAATGCAACCCACAACCATTTGTGATAGCTGTAGCGTAGTAACAAACATGGCGACCCATTTTGGTATATTGAACCGCATTGCTTTCAGAGCATAATAGGAGTACATCCAGGCATGAACGAAAGAGTTTACCAAGCCAAACCACTTGCCATTTCCTGTGGCCTCTGCATAAGAGAACCAGGTATAGAGAAGGACTGTTACGTGATGGTACCAATGTAGAAAAATCAACGGTTGCTTTCGTAACACAATGAAGGCTGTGTCGCCAAATTCTACTAGCTTCGATAGGGCAAAGGTCCACGACCAAAAACCGAAAACTGGATCTTGAGTAAGATGGCTGGAAAGAATATAATTACATTTCTATTATGATATAATATTTTGGAAATATTGTTATATGTTATGAGCATGATATATAAATTGAAGTTACATAGTGTGTTTCTTAATATCTGTCTGATGTTGTGTATTTTTCACATTACAAACAATTTACTTTTATGTTGGAAGTGGCTGAATTTATTTCAAGTATAGTACAATAATAACAAATGCAGTTATTTTTGTTATAATATCAAAAATAAAAATTTCCATTTATCCATATTTTATACATTTCTTTGAAGTTTCTCAATTTTCCAGAGCATCGAACAACATTTTGCAATAAAAGTTAACAAAAAGACGCGAATTTCCAGTATTAAAGAAAATTTACAGATAAAATTAAATTATAGATTAAAACTGTTTAGCTGAATTCCTTGCTTGTAGACAATTGCTACGTTTAAACTATCTTTCTAAACGTAATAATTTCCGGGATATTCCGTAAAATATGTTTTCAGTCTCAATTTTGCAGGATATTTTTGCTCCTTCGACATAGATTTTCCCGTGTAAAGATAATATATGTCAAATATATTACGAATCCCCTGTTAGATACGTATGCTATCGCAAGGCGGATTGAGCATGTACAGATACTTTTAGCATAAAATTAAATTCTGTATGCATTTACATTTAAAAAGTTTCGGGCTAATTATTAAAAGAACAGTTTTTAAGGTAAATGAAGTTTTATTATCTATTATTCAACACACATCCCTTCCTTGTCATATTTTTCTGAATTGCTTCTACAGTATCCAAACGCTACCCTTTCCGTGGCATCATCAACGGAAACCGGGAAAATAATCCCAGGCAGCCCATCAAATAACTGAAGGGCATTCTAGATGTGCGACCGATGTA